TGTACGACGAGGAGGCCATGTGGGACGAGTACGTAGTGTGCTGTGTTCTGAAAGCGGGGGGGGGGATAGAGCGAAAACAAATAACCTGATCAAATAATATAGATTTGTACAGGGTGCAGGGGTGAACATGAAAAATATATGTATGACTGGTTTCAGTAGGGCTGAGATTACGACAAGAAGCAGAGAAGGGGCGAATAATCTACTGCAGGGGTCGGCAACCTATGACCCGTGGGTCACCGAGTGACCCATTTGGTAATTTCAAGTGACCCACTTTAGTTCCGAAAATAAAGTATAAGATTGTAAGCGTTAATTTGTTGTGCGCTTTGTATGTGTGTGTGTGTGTCGTAGAAAAAGTTTATAAATATGAGTGCGTGTCTGTCGCATGGTGCATCGAGAAGCATCGAGAAGGATCCCGAATATTCTGGAAGCGTGGCGACCGGAAAACGGAATAAACAATTTAGAGCTAGGGCTTCCAGAGCCTTCGATATAGAAAATAATAAAAGACGCGAGGACACGCGCCTCGGGGCATTATGTCGCGAACTGTTGTCGAAATCGCTCGTGGTACCTCACAAGATATACAAACATTTTTTTCTTTTTCCCAAAAAATTTTTGTCGCAAAGTTATGAACGTACCAAATTTGAATCCAGTATAACATATAAAAATATCAGTTAAAACCCCACCCCCGCCTGACTGGATATGGAATCGGCCGATAGTATGCGGAATGCAGCGACATTGTCCGAACAAATTGTACCATTTCTGGACGCGCGCGTCGTTATCTCAGTTGTATGTCAGTTATAGTTATAGCACGTGTAGTACAGTGGCACAATAATATTGACCTAGTGACCTAGTGAAATAAATATTATTATTTAAAAAAATTACCATGAACAAACAAAAAGCAAAAAAGAGATTATTTCAAGATGTGTGGACAGAAAAGTATGGGTGTATCGAAAATGGTGACAAATTGATATGTACTTTATGTGCAGATATAATTACCGCCAGGACTTATAATATTGAGCGACACTTTTCTTCAAAACATAAAGATGTGAGTGAAATGGCACATGAAGATAAATCTGAATACATTGCTAAACGTGTATTAAATTTTGGAAAACAAAATAAATTCTTAAAGAGTTTTGTTACCAGCAACAATCACGCTACGTCTGCCAGCTTTGTTGCAGCTCTTAGCATTGGTACCAACGGAAAACCAATTACAGACGGCGAATTTTTGAAAAACGCATTCATAAATTGTTCCGAACACTTATTTAATGACTTCGCAAATAAAAAACAAATAATTGAGAGAATCAAAGAAATGGCATTGTCAGCTAGAACAGTCCAGCGTCGCGTTGAAGATATGGCCAAGAATATTGATGAACAGGTCAAAAATTATTTGTTATCTTGTCACATAATTAGCATTACATAATTGCAGTTGACGAAAGTACCGACATAAATAGTATTGGTAGACTAAATAAATAGCTCGAATGTCAATGAAGAACTATGCGTTCTTGCTTCAATGAATGACACTACCAAAGGCACTGATATTTTTCGTCAAGTACAAGAGTTTACGAATTTTAAAAATGGGCAAGTATTGGATTTAAAAAGTAAATTGTTTTCCATAACAACTGACGGTGCTCCAAGTATGAGAGGAAAAACTGTTGGATTTGTAAAACTAATGGAAAATGAACTTGGCCGTTCACTTTTATCGTTTCATTGTATCATACATGAAGAAAATTTATTTGCAAAGGCATCTACACAACAAAAAACATGATAATAGCGCGATCAGCATTAATACACAGGCGCTTTAAAGCTTTTTTGGAGGAAATTGAATCGAAATATGGAGATTTGTTATTACATTTTGAAATACGATGGTTAAGTCGGGGCAAAGTTCTTAATAGATTTGTAGAGTGTTTTGATGATATACAAATATTTCTTCACGAAATCGGTGAAAATGATCTCGAACTCAATGATAAACAATGGTTTTTAAAACTTTTGTTCTTAACAAACATAATGAACCATTATAATGATTTCAACGTACGACTCCAAGGAAATAACCACACAATTTTGAAAATGTATGAGGAATGGAAGAGTTTTACTTCAAAATTGATATTATTTGAAACTGACATAAAAACTAAAAAATTTCATTTCTTTCCCTTGTTAAAAAGGGAACATGAAAAAGAAAATATCGATGAACGCAATCTAAATATGTTCGAAAGTTGGATTTCGGTCATTAAAAATGAATATGAAAGTCGGTTTCAAAGTCTTAAGAAACATGGAGAAATGTTTACATTTATAATAAAGCCCGATGAAATAGAAGAAAATATTATAAATTTGCAGTATTTTGAATATCTAAGAATTGACAATTTTAGTTTAGAAATGATTGATTTTAAAAGTTCAACATTATGGACGGATAAATTCAAGAAATTGCGGAACGATTTGGAAAATACAGAAGATAATCATTTTCTCATGACATCAACATGTTGGGCATCACTTCCTACGAGGTTTTCATCATTAAAAAAAATTGGCTTTGCCATTTTGTCCACATTCGGGTCCACTTATAAATGTGAGCAAATATTTTCACAAATGAAATTTATTTTAAGCAAAAACAGGAGCAGGTTAATTATTGAAAATTCAGATGCTTGTGTTCGACTTAAAATGACTAACTATAAACCAGACTTGACTAAATTGACGTCACAAGTTCAACATCAGGGGAGCTATTGATATCGTAGAGAAAGTTTATAAATAAAGTTTATTCAACTATGTTTGTAATTATTTTCTTAATAAAATATATCTTATTATTTACTAAAATGCTGTTTTAATACGAAAATATCTCTGACTCAAACGTCTCTTTAATACTCGCATTTTGGTTGATTTTGACCCGCGGCCAAAAAAGGTTGCCGACCCCTGGTTTAGACAATACGCGGTTGCTGTGAAGGCGGATATTTCGGATATGTTCCTACGCGTGCAAATTCGGGAGAGCGATCGTGGTGCACAAAGATTTCTATGGCGAGGAAAAGATAGGAATAGGGAACCGGACATTTACGAGATGTCGACGTTAATCTTTGGCGCGAAATCATCCCCGTGTAGTGCAATCTACGTCAAAGACAAGAATGCGAAAGACTGTAATGAAGCTCACCCGGAGGCAGTCAGAAGTATTATTAATGATAGCTATATGGTCGATTTCTTATCGAGTCGAAGAACCGTGCGCGAAGCGGCCGAACTCGTTCGGAATGTAATCGCGATAAACGCGCGAGCGAATTTCGTCATGCACGGTTGGGCGAGTAACAAGGCGGAGGTCTTGCGAAAGTCCGTCGATCACGGGCAACGGTTAGAACAGGGCGACATGCGTTTAGGCGATCGAGGGGGAGAGAGGGTCCTCGGTCTATTCTGGGACACACAGACTGATGAACTCCAATTCAATGTCGAGTTGAAGAATATACCAAAAGAAATTCTGCTAGGCGAAAAGAAGCCCACCAAACGCGAGTTCTTACGCGTCATTATGTCGGTTTTCGACCCTTTCGGTATCCTCGCTCCGTTTATACTAAAGTCGAAAATTATCATGCAGGAAATATGGCGAAGCGGTATAAATTGGGACGACCAATTACGGGAGGAAGATTTTATCCGTTGGCGCAAGTGGGTGTCCATGATAGATAGGATAAAAGAATGCCGGATGCCGAGGTGTTACGCATTAACGAAATCGCGGGAGTCAGAAGCGCAACTTCACGTGTTTTGCGACGCGAGCTTAACGGCTTACGCGGCGGTAGCCTATCTACGGTTCGAAGACGAAAATCAGTCTGAATCCGCGCACGTTTCCTTGAACATGGCCAAAAGTAGAGTCGCGCCATTAAAACCGTTGACAATACCGCGACTAAAGTTGCAGGCGGCCCTGATGGGAACAAGGCTCGCGATCTTCGTAGAAAAGGAACTAGACATTAAAATCAGCACACGAGTTTTTTGGTCAGATTCGACTACAGTGATTTCGTGGATCAGATCGGAGCTGCGAACGCGTCAGGTGTTCGTAGCGAATCGCTTGGGAGAGATCGGAGAAAACACGCGGACAACGGAGTGGCGATGGGTTCCGACCGGTCAGAATCCCGCGGACGATGCAACGCGTTTCGAAAATAGCTCCGAATTCATAAGCCCGCGATGGTTCGAAAGCCCGGAGTCTGAATGGCCGATAGAGAAAACGTTGACCGCGAAGGAAAAGGCGACAATCGACGGATTGGAGCAGCGGAAAGCGTGCGTCTATGTGGCGACGGCGGTAAGAGTAGAGTTCTCGCTACCGATAAGGTTGATGGGTTGGCGCGGTCTTCTCGTCATCGCGCGACGAGTACACGCGATCGTCGGTCGTTGGAAGGGGAAGAAGAACACTGCGAAAGAACCGTTGGAAGTAGTTCGGATAGGGGAACAGTATTGGTACCGCGTTATCCAGAACGAATATTTCGGAGCCGAGATAGATGCGTTGAGAAACGGTGGTAGTATCAACAAAGGAAGTAAAATCGCCGGTCTAAATTCGTACGTAGACGAACAGGGAATTTTGAGGGCAAACGGGCGCGTAACAGCAACGGGACTTGAGGACTTCGACAACCGACCAATCATACTTGAGGGTCGACACTCTGCGATCAAATTACTAATTGCAGAATATCATCGTAAGTTCTATTACGCGAGTAGCGACGCGGTAGTCAACGAATTGAGGCAAAAATACCACATAATCGGTCTTCGACGCGTTTTACGTTCGCTCATAAGTAGGTGTATCGTATGTCGTATACGGCGAGGCAGGCCACAGAACCCGCTGATGTCCGCGCTACCGGTCGGGCGTGTAACTACCGGTAGGGCGTGTAGCTTTTCGGCAGAGACCCTTTACACACTGCGGAGTCGACTACTTCGGACCGATGATGGTAAAAATCGGGCGGCGAAGAGAAAAACGTTGGGGAGTGTTGTTTACGTGTCTCACGACGAGGGCAATCCACTTAGAGATCGCGCATTCGTTAAGTGTTAGTTCGGCAATAATGGCGTTACAAAGACTCGCGGCGCGGAGAGGCACACCGCAGGTGGTCTACAGCGACAATGGGACGAATTTCCGGGGCGCGGATAAGGAGCTGAAAGACGCGACCGCGAGTATGGACCGAGCTAAGATCGAGGAATACGCATTGTCGAAACGCGTGAAATGGGTTTTCAATCCCCCCGACGCGCCGCACATGGGTGGGGCGTGGGAACGGTTGATTAGGTCGGTAAAAACCGCGTTGAACGTGATATTAAGGGAACAAGCACCCTCGAAAGAGGTTCTTTCTACTCTCTTTGCCGAAGCCGAACATTCGGTAAACTCTCGACCGCTCACGCACGTGTCGTTAGACCCTTGCGATAAAGAGGCACTGACGCCAAATCATTTCCTGATAGGATCGTCCTCGGGTGAGATTCAGCTAGGTAGATATGACCTCCAAAATGTATGTTTGCGAAGACAGTGGCGAACGGCGCAGAGTTTCGCGGAGGCGTTTTGGAAACGATGGTTGCGCGAATATTTAGCCACGCTCGTACTGTGTAAGAAATGGACCGAGAAGGAAAGGCCCTTAGAAGTAGGCGATATAGTGTTGATCGTAGATTTACAAGCACCGCGAAATAGTTGGCGAAAAGGGACAGTTATACGAGTATTCGAGGAAAGTGGCCATTTTGGCGTAGAGCGTGTACAGGAGATAAGCGTGACGGAAGCGAGTGGAGAAAATAAAGAAAGTGACAAGTGCGAAGGAACTGAGGACGATAAAGTCGAAACGACGGACGCTAATAGCGATAAGGTAGTAGTAGTTATAAAAGAAAATATAGAAAATAAACGTAGAATAGCAGTAGTAGATAAGAACGGCAACAAGTGCGTAGTTAGCAATCAACACGTGGGTAAGAACAGTGTGCAGGTACCGGGTAAAGGTAAAGACGATGAAGAAATAGGTAGTGATACGCAAAAGAAAAAGGGAAAAGAGGATAATATAGAATTATATGAGGAGGATATTACGTATGAAGAATACGTAGTATGCTGTGCATTGAAGACAGTGGGGAGAAATAGAACCAAAAGAAATAATTTAATAAAAATTTATAGACTTGTTCAGGGGGTGGGTGTGAATATAAAATCAATTCGTATGACTGGTTTTAGCAGAGCGGAGGTGACCACTAGAAGCAGGAAGGAGGCGAACGAACTGCTGAAAAGATACGGTAGTAAGGAGGAGAAGATCGCCGCTTTTTTACCTAGGAGGATGAAATACAGACGCGGGATAATCTTCGAGTGAGAGGATTCCGTCGAGGAGTTAAAAGAGGAAGCGACTCCCGGTCAAGGAAGCTTTGTACTTGAAAGGATGAAGAGGAGGAGGATAGTCGATGGGAAGGTGGTGTTTGAGCCAATGAGGGCGATAATGATAGTGTTTAGGAGGAGTGTGTTGCCGACCAGGCTCTTGATCAGACAGCGGCATGTGGGGATTAAAAACGAGCCTTTTGTCGAACCTGTGAAACAATGTTACAGGTGTTTAAAATTCGGGCATGTACAGGCGACATGTAGAGAACAGGTGAGGAGGTGTGCTAATTGCGGGGAGAAGGAACATGGGCAGTGTGGGAAGGACCCGAAGTGTGTTAATTGTGGTGGGAGCCATGGCTCCCTTGCTAGGAACTGCTGGGTTTGGCAAAGGCAGGCCG